CCTGAGAGCATGAGTTGCCTTCTAACTATAGGAATGGCATCAGTTGCTTCAAGATCCTTGGCTGTAAAGACACCGACACCGTAAGAAATAATAGCTTTAACACATTCCAAAGAAGTATCGAGTAACTGACCACTGGAAACTAAAAAAACTTCTGTCTTTTGATTGAATATGTATTCTCCAAATGCTTCTCTGTGAAGTAAATGTTTTTCTAATTAGGCTTAAAAATGTGAAATTTTCTCGCAAAATTGATTTTCCATTAAGGCACTAAAGTAGTTTCTCTTCTGCTTGGGTACTAATTAAATTATGTCCCAACTTGTTTTAATTCAGCAATCAATTTTTTTTCCATTTGCACTGGATTACAGAATCTCATTTAAAAATCACAGTTTAATGAATTCCACACAAAGCAGAGGTGATAGACTTATTCTCTAAATGGAAACAAAACAGTACTGGTCAAGACTTGAGAGCTTGCAGCCTAACAGGGCAGAATACTGAAAAAAAAAAAAAAAAAAAAAAAAAAAAAAAAAGCCAAAACCCCAAAAGCAAACAAAAAGGCTCAGTCCTCTGGTGGTGTCTATGTCTTGTGCTGTTTTTAGAGATAAGAGACAGTATTGCAAAAGGCATGGGGATGTGAGGGGGAAAAAAAGGAACAAAATGCTAAAATAAAAAGGATCTAAATTCTTTGAGGATGTACTTGATGCTGGGTCCAGAACTGAGACAATTTCTAAGGTAGTCATAAATTTATAAAAAGAGAAAAATTGAGTCATGACAATATTTAAAATAAGTAAAAAATTAAGAACGGATTATTCTAAAGAATAATAATTCAGGTTTAATAATTCTAGATAATAATTTAATGACTCTAAATAATAATAATAATTCAGATTTAACCTGTGAGTGTATGAATAATTATTTTTTAAATGATTTAAAATATCTCCAAAAGTCAACATAGCTTGAGAACATACATATTGAAAATCTTTTGGAAATGAAGGAATATGCTGATTATATAGGATGATTTTGAGGTCTTATACTGAGAAAGGAAAAATTGATACAACAAATAGTTTTCTATGTAATCACCTCTCAAAAAACTCAGGATTCACATTTCTGTCTTAAAAAAAAAAAGAATGAACAAAACCAAAAGAGAATAATTGAGCTGTCCATGGTCAAATTCCACCTTCATCTATTAGAAGGTGGGGAAGTCACAAGAGGGAGTAGTCAATTCATGTAACATTAAAACAAAAAAATAAAACAAACAAAAAAAAAAAGCAAGTAAATGTAAGCCAGTAAGGTGGCTTTCATTGTGTTAATTTAAGACACATTAACAAGCAAAATGGAAGCTTCACCTTGCATGGAGAATCTAACAGCAGGAGCTGTGCTTATTGAGGTTTCTTCTCTATCTCCTCCTTTTTAAAACGTGCTCAGTCAAGTCCAAATGTGATCCTTACACTGTCCATGCTCTATCCTATTCCTTTCTAAACAACTTGCACATTAATGGATCACTGAAATAACACATAATTCTTTCACTTCAACAATTGCTTCATCAACTCATGGCTTTTACAGTTCTCATCTTCCTGGCCACCAAATTTTACCCTGTTTAAATCCAAGACTAACTGAATAGCCTACTGTGGTTAATAGTGCTGTTTCCAGATTCCAAAATTGTTCCTTGAGTTCTTTTTTTCTCACTTTCTTTGTATCCTTTCAACTCATGATGACATTAAAAATAACAGTTAATGCTGTTAGATGAATGGCATTGTGGAGAGAAAAATTTTAGAAAAACTAAAATTGTGAACAAAATTGCTCATGTAAAATGGAAAAACAATTTCTTTAAAATCATGAGAGCTAAGCCTTCAATTTATTCATTCAATTATAATTTTCTGTGGTTAATGGACAGTAGCATGAAAAGATGGAGCACATATCAGTGAGAATAAGTAATTCTTCAGATATGAAATGTATTTGGAATCTTATTTCTTTTATAAGGAGAAAGTACCTTTCTGGGTCTGGTCATCCAGGAATACTTTGCAAGCTAGACATCTGTTGTATGAGGCCTCCTGTATCATGACAAAGGGCAACAGCCCCTCAACTGAAAACCAAAAATCACTATTCTGGAGAAGATAGCAAAGAAGAATGTTTCTAGAGTTTAAAAATGTAATAGTAGAGTTACTATTTTTTATTGAAAACTTCAAGAGCCATTCAATAAGTGCAACAGCGCTGAGGAAAGAATAAAGAAGCAGACATAGATAGAAGGAAAAGAATAGAACAATTAGGGAAATTAAAACACAAAAAGGAGAAAGATAACACAAAAAACACAGTAGGTTACAGAAAGAGAATAGGAAATCTCTCATTTATTGAACGATATACCAGACTCGGTATTAGGTATAGCAGATTCCTCCTGATTTAATCTATATGTAAGAGCAAGGACAGACGATGGTAGTTTACTTTAATTTTTTTTTTTTAGATTTTGATGGACCTTTATTTTATTCATTTATTTATATGTAGTGCTGAGAATCGAACCCAGTGCCTCGCACATGCTAGGCAAGCGCTCTGCCACTGAACCACAGTCCTAGCTCCAATAGGATACTTTCTAGATTAAAAATCCTGAATTTTAGAGTGCTTAAGTGGCTTGTCCCAGAGATAGTAAGTAGATCAGTTAGGACCAAACCCCAGAAGTGTTTGATCTTAAGGACAGATCTTGCCCAGAAACCTGTGTAGATGAAAATAAGCAAGATAGAGATTGAAGTTAAGATGATGAGTCAACCCCAAATTTCATGAAAACATAGTGCCATTATTTGCCCCCTAAAAATAAAACCACTTAGCACAGAAGCATGAATATAGTAATGCATAATAAGAATTTTCACCAAGAACATGTATATACATGTATATACAGATCCCAATCTGTATCTATATCTATCTGTATCTGTATCATCTATATCTATACATATATATTTGGTATTAGGGATTGAACTCAGGGGTGCTTTACCATTAAGCTAGATCCTCAGTCCTTTTTAAATTTTTTAAACATTTTTGAGACAGGGTCTTTCTAAATTGCTGAGGGGCTGGCCTTGAACTTGAGATCCTTCTGCCTCAGCCTTCCAAATAGCTGGGATTACAGGTGTGTGACTCTATGCTCAGCTCAAATAATTTGGATGATAAAAGTCTTAGGGAAAGAAGACAAAGAGAGAAAAAAGGGGGCAAATAAGGTGAAGAGAACAAAAATAAGATTGTTTTGGGGCATCTATCTAACCTCAGATTCTAGAGTCAAAAGTGTCAAATTCTGCCCCATACTCAAAGGATTTTTGAAAGAGGAGAATTGCTAGCTCATCTATATACCCTTAACTCAGGCAAAAATATTTTTCACCTTTTCAGAAACTCACTGGTGTGATCTTGAAATCCCATAGTAATTGTGGTAAAAGTAACTATATACCCTGGACATAGCCTTGTGAAGTCCACATGGTCATATTCTGATAATTAGCCAATGAACCAACCACAACCACTTAACTAAAAACCACTCAGCTAATAAATATTTATTATGGTCCCACTTTATCTCCAACTCAAGGAATTCACAGTGAAACCTTTCAATAAAATATGAAAGTTCAATGAAACATGTTACTATTTTGTTAAATATTTAGAAACATCATGTTCAAAGGATTGAATATTTCTTTTTATACAGATGTTAAGCTTAATGTCAATATTACCTAACTCATATGGAAGAACTACTTATAAAAAATCATAAAATTTAGAAAGGCAGTATTTTTCCTATGTTATTTTTGACGGATGAAAAGTAGGGCCAAGTCTATTTCAATATTTAGGATGTCAATTTTGACTAACCTACTGGGAAAATATGTATGTCTCTTCTTTCTAAAAGAGAGCAAAGTTTTCTTTTGATTATTCAAGTTACTCAAGCAATTTTGCTTCTTTTTTTTTGTAACCAAATAATAATTTTAGAGCACAAACAAAATCCAATTTCAGCATAGCAATCAATAATCCTATTCTGAGACCTTACCTTACTAAAGTGGTGTCAAGTTAGCAGCTTGAGATGGCTCAGAGAAAACCTCAGGCTGAGAAATTTCCCAGGTAAAGGGCTTGATTGAGTTTTTTCTCTGAAGGCTTGGGCAACTCTGATTTCTCTGGTAGCCCCAATGTGACTACATCTTACCAAATTTTAGGGAGATATAAGTCCTAAATGATAGGCTTTTTGCATTATAGTCAATTGTCAGGACTCCGGGAAGTGGCTGGAAAGGAGTTGTTTAGGGCTTTGGAGAAGCTGAGAGTTGTTTGCTGTTCTGGTGGTGGTTTGCTGAGACATCCACACAGAAAAAATGCTAGTGCCAGGCAGGAGGAGCATAATCAAATGGAATTGATTATTATGGCGCTTCAATGTACTAAGGATATTGAACTTCCCTTTTTAAATCACAGAAAAATACTGGTCTCAACTATTAAAGCTGGGGAAAAAACAATGTGAAGACTACTATAAAAATGTGAGTCATTTAAAAAATGGATTTAATATTGGCCTTTGTGAATTATATTTGATGTTTCACCCATCAGGCTCTGATATCTTTGGGAGAAACAATGAACTGTCTGCAATATACAGAAATAATCAAGGAAAAAGTGCCATTTTATTTCTTTATAGCTATATAACCTACATAGAAAACCAGAAAAATCATTGTGGAAAAATACAAAGAATAATAAGATGATTTTTCTCTGTCCCTTTAAAGAAGTGTGTGTGTGTGTGTGTGTGTGTGTGTGTGTATGTATGTGTGTGTTTGTGTTTGTCCAGAGGAGTTGGTTACAGATCCAGTGCATGAATCTCTCCCTTTTCTTCTGAACAACACACAGAAGACCTGTATACTTTATAACCAGGTTATACAACCCCTTGACCCTGTTTTGCCAGCTGTCAACATCTAGAAGCCCACATCACCTTTGGTAAAAAGCATCTCACAATAGGTTATTGTATGAGCAGCAACTGAAGCTATAGCTTGTCACATCAGAAATGCTAATGATTTTCTTACCTCTTCCTTCTCAGCACTTTGCAGATCACGCCATTCCTCAGTTACGTGACCGAAATCCACTGTGTTCATGGGGACTTTGAATTCTCCAATGATGTCATGCTTGGAGAAACGATCAAAATCATACACAGCCATCACCAGAGTTTTGCCGCCTAGTTCCGAGTAAGGGACCTACACAGAAAGAAATGAGGATAAATATCTGTTCACAAAAATACTTAAAATCTGCTACTACTTTATGGCATTAATTTAATACTTATGTTGGACAAACAGACCAGGGAGATTATTATTATTATTTTTTTTAAATTGAGTCTTTTAACTAACTGAAGTTGAATCTACCTGAGGAAAAAACTGGAACTTGCCATAGATTTTTCAACTTATTTTAAAGGTCTAAAGCTATTAGTATTATTAATAATGGGTCCAAAGATTAATAAAAGAATAAATAAGCCCCAGGCACAGTGGTGCATGCCCGGAATCCCAGTGACTCAGGAGGCTGAGGCAGGAGGATCATGAGTTCAAAGTCAGCCTCAGAAACTTAGTGAGACCCTATCTCAAAATAAAAAAGGGGTTGGGGATGTGGCCTAGTGGTAAAGTGCCCCTGGGTTCAATCCTCAGTACAAAAAAAAAAAAAAGAATAAATAAGCCAATTACATTTGACTATTGTATACATTTCTCTTGCAGTATGTATGTATATGTCCGTGTGTGTGTAATAATATTTATTTATTTATTTTTGGTGCTGAGGTTGGAATCCAGGGCCTTTTGCATGTGAGGGAAGCACACTACCAACTGACTATATCCCCAGTCCTCTCCTACAGTATATTTTATTGTCATTGTTGTAAGTTATATCATCAGGATCTAACTTATTCGGAAGTAGAAAATGTGTTTAAAAGTTCCATTAACTCTTTCAAGCCATTTGAATACCGCAGCTTAATGGAGCAGCAACATACTAAAAGGCATGCTAGGAGCCAAAAAAATTTAAATGAAATTCATAAGGTGCCTCACCTACTCTCTAAAATAATTTACTGATTGACATGCACTGACTAGAAAATTGATGTTTTGAATATCAGAGATTCAATATAATATGGATCTTGAAGTTCACTCATAGGTATGACACTCTTTAGTATGAATAGTGGCAAAAGGCCAAGAACTGATGAATTCTCCAGCTGTTCAAATATATCTGGGACAGATGCTCTGGGTTGGGAAGTTTATTAGTGACATTTTTAATATTCAGGGAAAAGCCGTGCAATTCAAGTGAGCTACACTTCAGTAACTGGGTAGAAATGTCTAATGAAGAAATTGTTTAGACTTGTATTAAAGGTTTGATCAATTTTCATACACTTCATATTTTATCAGTGTAAATGGTTGTCGTGTGCTCCAGCAAACATTTCTCAATTAACTCTGTACATTAAGAAGGGAAGGAGAGGAAAGAATACTTGACCGTAAATGTACAAGTAATCTTAGTTTACCAGGAGTACTTTCTGTCATTTATTTATCATGTTTGGAATCTGATTATATTATTAAAACACTGTGATTAAAAATTAGGCATAATGCTTTTCAATTTTAGAAGGAATCTAAAATAAACTCAAAGAGCCATATTTTTAAGGAAAAAAAATTTTAGAATAATTATAGATAAACCTTTGAAATTGTCATTGTATATCTAAAACCTTTCTATAATTTTGATGATCAAAAACCTGGGTTTGGGGTCAGAGAGACCTGGGCTTCCCAACTTTCTGTCTGAAGGACTTGGGGCTTCTTCATCTATCAAAATGAGAAAATAATAGTATCTATTTCTTGGGGCCATTTTAAGGATGAATGAATGTATGTGTACCACCTAGCATACAGTAGATACTTAAATGGTTGTTACTGATTAATACTTCCTTCAGGTGGGAGTTTGTTTTGGAAGAAAAAAAATATAACATTAGTTTGGGGCAAGTCGAGTTCATGTTCAGTAGATTTTGACTCAATTCTAGAGCCAACTATCTAACTTCTTATGTTTCCCTTCCTATATCATATTGCCCTTGTCATTTCAAGAAATGTAGTCTACAAATGTCTACTGGAAAACTTAGCTGGTTCTCTTTTACATTGGCATATTTACTAAATGTATCAAAATATACTTTGAATCTCTTTATGGCTTGCTCAACCTTGCCAAAATGTAATAAAATAGAAATTATAAAAGTTTATAGACAATTAAAATGTTCATTATACTTTTTGGAGTCATAGATATTACTAATAAAATTGTATCATTCTGTTTTTTTGGGGGGGTACCAGGGATTGAACTAAGGGGCACTCAACCACTGAGCCACATCCCCAGACCATTTTCATATTTTATTAGAGACAGAGTCTCACTGAGTTGCTTAGAGGCTTGCAGTTTCTGAGGCTGGCTTTGAACTCAAATCCTCCTGCCTCAGCCTCCCGAGTTGCTGGGATTACAGGTGTGTGCCAACGTGCCTGGCTTGTATTATTCTTATTATGAACAATTACAAAATTATTTTAAAAGAAATAATATATAGGAAAGTCAAAGGAAAGCCCTACAATATTATTTCAAATAATTTAAGATTCTGCTTACTAAATTCTATTTAGAAAGATCTGACCTAAATAAAATGAATACATAGACAAATAAAATGCTTTTGATGACTACTTGCAGTATTTCAAGAATTCATTTTATGTTTTGTGGTGTGTTGACCACCATGATTAGCTCTTCATAGGTTGATAATTTTCAGATTTTTTTTTTTTTTACTGCTACTTTAACTCTCTAGATACAAAAAAAAAAAAAAAAATGATGGATTTTAAATAACATTGACCACAATAAAACTTTTGTCTTAAACCTCAAAAATTTTAGGGTGAATGGAAAGACACTGCTCCTTCACAATATTGTAAACACATTTTGAGAAAATGGCTCATGCCCTCAACTCCATCAAGTTATGTCAGAACAGAATGTCTGCTAACAGAGGCACAGCAGCCACTACTAAGCCTGACTGATGGATGGGGTGATTTTGAGTCAGCTTGCTGGTATATTCACAAGCATTTCATTTTTCAGAGATGTATTGTTCTAAGTAATGCATTTTAAAAAATTCACACATCCACCAAAATAATTGTTTTTGTGAATGGCCTCAAGCGAAGAGCTACAAAGATCCCTGCAGCCTGCAGGGCTGGTTTTCTGGATGAATTATTTGATCAAAATCTCTCTTGGTTATTGTTTGTCAACTGAGGTATCTTAAGAAGATGAAGAATATCAGAAGAGCCTAGAGTAGAGGAAAAAATACGAGAAATGCCGAAAACAATGTGTTCATATTCTTTTCATTGATAAGAAGATGGATCTAGAGTTTTCAAGTTGCCCCTGTACATTAAGAGCTTTCAATAAGAGTCATATCTATTTGTACTATTTAAGCATGGAACATAGCTTCCTTTGTTCTGTTTGCAACAGGGTTTACCTATTTTTGGGACTTGGAATTCAGGGAAATAATGATTTCTTTCTTTTGCCTTTATTCTGGGTGTGTGTGTATGAGCCTATTAGCACATTTGAAGTTGACCTTACTTTTCAGATGTGACCATGACATCATAGTCATGTTATCAGTCTATACTCCATTATGAAAAGTGATGGCCAACTCCTACCTTGACCACACTTAAAACATAATAGAGACCAAAGAGAAAAATTGAAAATATTCTGAATACAATCATTTTAAGTCCTTGAATATGTGTTCATGTGTATGTCTGTGTCAGGATAAAACCAGTATTAAAACAACAAAAGAAAAGTTATAAGTACATAAGAAAAAATACCTTGAAAGTAAATTGCTCATTGAAGACAGGATTAAGGGTTTTTCGGTGGACTTTTGTCTCAAATTTCTTCTTTTTATCAGGCAGCAGAAATACTTTCACATAAGGGTCAGATGTGCCTCCCATGTCTAAGGCAGGCAGTTCGGCAGCCTGGATGATCCCTACCAGCAGCTGAAATGAATGACAGGGAGCAACAAGCACAAAAGTTGGTGACACTTTGGAAAAGATTGATTTGTTCACAGTGATGCATATTGTGATTTCTCCCCATTCCTCTTTGCTTTCAATAAACTTTTATTCTCATGTGAATCTGAACACGGAAGGCAAATGAAATGAGCTCTCTAGACTTCAGAACCCCAATTATGACAGATGCACGCTCTAGGAAGCCAACTTTTAAGCACAAAAGAGGCTTTTAAAAGGTTGCTGATTATAGTTAGATATGAAATTCATATTTGCAAAAGGGTTGCAATCAAATAACTTTTCAGTTGCTAAAAGCTCTTGTGCATTGTTTTTCTTTCCCGGGCATGATTTGTAAGTGGAAATAAATTGTTAAACAATCACAAGTCTGTAATTACAAATAGAACATTTTTATTCTTTACCAAAGTCTCAGACCAGCTAAGTTCAGAATTTTTTATTTCTGTTTAGCAATAGAAATATTTTAGAAATCAGGTAATATTTTGAGATTAAAGAAATAAGATATTCAAGTTTCTGTCACCCTTGACCTTCACTATGTGCCAGCTAATTTTTATTTAACTTACAGTAGAATGATTATTATCCAATAATTCTTGTATCTAAATATAAGACATTGAAATAAAGAATTATAATTTAAGCTTCATAGAAAGGGAGGGGAGATGACAGATATAGTTTTCATGTTAAATAACAATGTTACTGATTTTTTTCCAAATACAACAGATATCTCTACATTTGTTAAACACTGTTTTCTTACTCATATAAGACTAAATCCCTATGAATATTAGAAATTATGGCATTGTTACCATTTTAAAAAGAAAAAAGGTACATGTGGACTATTCCAGTGGTTCTGCCACTGGAGAGTTATGTCAGCAGACTGATTTAAATCCACATGGGAAACAAAAGTAGATCTTTTGTGATTCAAGGGACATACTATTCAGTAAATGCAGTCATGCCATAGGCTTTCACTTAAGAGCCTGAACATTTGGTTCTGTGGATTTTTAGTTAGTAGAATGAAAAAGCAAATTTACCTCCTTAAAAATTACATCCATTTTCTAAAAAACTTACCAATCATAGTCTTAAGTGCATTTTGGCTAACTGTCTCAATTTTTAACCTGGATCATACCCTGAATGAGTATGCTGTTTCCATTTTAAGCTTCAGTATGTGTTTTGTGGCATCATCTTTCAACAGCAGCAATGACTGCTGGATTGTGGGTACACAAAACAGAGAAAGATGGTCCAAGAATAGCTAAAGTGGTATTAGATTATAAAGACATGATTGGTGAAGCAAACAATATGACTTGTTTTGCTAAATTGGTATTTAGTATTTGCCTTTATGTGGCAGTGTGAATAAGCAAGAATTTATTTCTTCATTGTTGCTTTTTATAACCTGTTTTCCTTTTTTTCAATTTTCAGTTAGAAATAGAACTGAAATTCCTTTAAAGTAGATCATTTTTAGTCTAGATTTTTAGATATTTGTTAATAAGAAATGGAGTTACTTCTTCTAGCCTCCCTTTGACTTCTGCCTAACAAATAAATATTACATTTCTTTCCACCTTGACAGCTTCACAATTAGGGTATTTTAGGGTCATCTTTTAGTTTTGGTAACATAAGTTGACCTTTAGCTTTCCTGGAATATATAGATAATAGGAAATTTTGCTCCTAACCAAGTCCAGTGCTCAAATTTTGGTAGAAGACATAGAAATGACCTTGAATGCCATATTTAATTGACTGTAAATGGTATAACTATAAATCTTTATAAATCAATAATTATAAGTCCATACCTATAATCAATATGCAGATTTCTAGAAAATATTACAAAATAACTAGCCAGGGCTGTAATGGAGCTGATCAAATAAAAATATTTTTCATATGAGAGTATATTCCACACATCCCTCAGGGGGAACCCTCAAAGGCTGAAAGCATTATTTAAACTGTCCATTCCTAAATAAAACGCAGAATTTCTACAACTATTCAGAATTTTGATTTTGAATGATGGTCATCAAAGCTAAGCATGGGTGTTTGATTTATTGATCATTTAGTGCTCATCAAACTGGGTATCATTAGCACATGCTGGATTAGTAGCAATTGTAATTATAGATATTTGTTCTTCATCCCCTGAAATAATGGGTGAAGAAGCAAACTGTGCCAGAGAGATTTGAACTCCCTCGCTAGAGAATGGCTATGTTATAAAAATTTTTAACAACCTGATTTTGAACTTAGCTTCTTCCACTAATTCTTATCTAGCTTGTTAATTTTCTTTTTTCTTTGCAGTGCCAGAGATCAACATCCCCAACTGCTTGTTAATTTCTTTAACAATTCAGAACATTTAGGATTATCTTTGTCAAGATCATGGGTCCTAGAAATCCTTCAGAGAGATATTTTTAACTGTTATCTTTGAGATACCTTGATAATAGGCAGTGGATAAATGATATCATTCATCTAAATGACCCTTTCCTACTTTTCGAGAAATTGAAGTAGGAATGTCTGTTTTGTAATTTTTTTTCCCACTTTTGGGCCACATTCAAGGGCGCTAAAATAAAGTTGTGGGTCTTTCTGCTTTTCTAGAATTGCAATCCCATTAGCACTGGACATTATATAAGGCATTTGTACTTGTACGATTCATGGACCATTGTCAATTTTCCTTCTGTGATTCCTTATCAAGCTGTTTAACTATTTCAAATGGTAGCCCAACCCAAAGGCCCCTAGTTTGGATCTAGACCCACAACGTCTAAGGAACGTTTTTCTAGCTCAGGCTGAGGGACCCATCAGGACAAGAGTGACTGGGAGCTCTCCGTAGCAGACTGACTGCTTCAAGTTAATTTGTATTCTGCCTGCTTGCTGGAAGTGTCATAAGTAGATGTAATCGGTTGAATACTGTGAATTCTAATTACCAGAAGTTAAATTAGCAAGTAGGGGACTGCCTGTACTTAGAAATTATTTCATCAATAGCTTTGATAATTGCATTTCCCTCACAGCAAATGAAATGTTTTAAGAAGTATCTTGCTTCAATTTCTACTTGGTAATTTCAGAAAATGTAATGGAATTAGAAGACATTTTTCCCCTCAGACCTGGTTATTCTGGAAATCATAATCCAGTGAATATTGAAGTTTTCCCAGTTTCTCCTCTTCTTTGGGTTCTTCTTTTTCTTCCCCATCAGTCAAACCAGTTTCAGCATCATCGTCCTTAAGGGCCTATGAGTCAGAAAAGGGATCATATGTGAATTCGAAGGAATTTTCACCAAAATCCAAATTAAACTCGTCCTATAGTCATACTTCCAAGCTGTTAGAAAGCAAGCACTAAGATGCTAGAAACCTGTTTGTCTGACACACATTCACATTTGCTGCTTACATATTTTTTTAAATTCCACTAGTGCACGGAATTTTTCCCCCCAATCAGCAAGCAACATGGAAGCAATGGAAGAAGCCCCTCAGAATATTGCAAGCAAAAAATGTAAAATTGTTGCAAAGAAAATGTCAACTTGGTACTGTATTTGGCTCTGATAGAACTGCTTCTTTCTTTCTACTATGATAAACATGCTATTAACCAGGCCAATTTTCACATTCTTGTGGTTTAAAAAAGATGCTCAGCATCATGTAAAACATTATTGTTACATGCAGTGGAATAATTGATATGAAATGCATGGTCTTTTCTTGCCTTACTTCCTATGGAAAAGATAAGTAGGTGACCTTTAGATAACTTTCATTCCCTTTGTTTCGTATATACATTTGTAATTGTTAAGGAGAAAGAGGGAAAAAACATGCCATCAGCAAATGCATGTTTAGAGAAAAGTTTACTTCCAGTTGAAGTTTACTATTTTATTTTCATAACAGCTCCACAGAAAGCTAGGCTGAATTAAATTGATTTAAGAGTCTATTTGATATCAAAAGTTAAAAAATATATTTGCAATTTTGTCAAAAACTCAAATGGTATAAAATTTATTTTGCATTAAGAAAGAATCATGGTAGTAAACCCCCAAAATTCAGTCAGGCCAATGAAATATCTCTAGTACCCAAAACTTAAGTGCAATATAAATTGAAATACTAGAAAGCCCATGATCACATAAAATGTGTCCAAATGCTCCTTTCTTTTTAAAAATCAAAATGTGGAATGTATTTTCCTAAAATTTGCCCAAATTTTTCCCAAATTTTTATTTGGTTATTAATATTCAAAGGTTTTGGGGGATATATACTCATTGGTATAAAGAAATTAGAACAATTAGAAATCTATGGTTATTTACAATTAAAAATTATGAAGTTATATTTCCCTGATCACTAGTGTGGTTGAAAAAATTAAAAATTCTTTTATTAGCAATTTGCATTTTATGGGACTGCCTATACATAATTTTTGGTAATTTTTTTCCATTGGGCTGTTTGCTTTTTTCTTATTGCTTTGTAGAAGTTCTTTTTAGTTTAGTGGCGTTGATACTGTTGTTGCTATATGTAGCAAATATTGTCCCTAGTTTTTGGTTATGGTATTTTCATTGCTTGTGTGCATGCACACATGGGTATGTATTAGATATATATGTATTACTGTAGAATCTCAAAAGAAATCAGGGTGAGAGATGAGTGATAGATTACTTTTTATCTCTGACAACGCGAAGGAATCTTAACTATTGTCAGCTCTTAAACTGAATCTAAGAATTCTTACAGAACTCAAATGCAAAAAGTATAACCAGGCTTCACATAGCCATCAGAATTGTCAGACTGGCTTCATCACCTTGCAACACCCATCTGCAAGACTACATGGTCTTTTTCTCTGCTATGCTCATCATTATCAGAAGATAGATTTTTTTCTGCTCTCACCCACTTGCACAGAGACTCTCCGTGGAAGCAGTCACTAAATTTACCAGATTTCCCCATTTACTTCCTTCCACCTAACTAAAAAGCAAAGAGTTGGATGCTTCCTAGATTAATAAAATTCATTAGTTCCCCTCTTAGGTGAGAAGATCATATAAGCAGACAATTGAGCTATTGTCAGAGATGCCTCCCTTATTGTGCTTGTTGAAATTTCTCGGTGGCCTACAATGAGTGTGGAAATTGAAAATTACCATTAATATATAATCACACTTATATAGAAATCTTTTCAAATAGGGTTAGCCACACCCCATTTAATTTAGTAAGTTTAATTTATACTTGGATAGTTCCTTGCATATTAAGATACTGTTTTACTGATAGCCAAAAGCAGAAAACAATTTAAAATTTAAGAATTTTATACTAAACTTCTAAACTTGAGAGGTGGTGATGGGAGGCCAGTAAAAGAATCTAGAGAAGTGACAAGAAAAAACTACTGAATTAATTAGAGAACTTTAGGAAGTGGATTCCCATAGCCCTTTGTAAACTTGCTGTTTATGTCTTTAGCAGTGTCAAAGAAAATGTGCTTAGAAAATTGAAGTTAATTATAATGTGCCTCCCTGGAAGATTTTAATTTTTTAAAATAATAGCAAAATAATAAATGCATACCTCTGTTTGAAAAATCTGTTACTCTATCATCACAACAAAAAAATTCAGAATTAAAATACTTTTTCAAAAGTCTCTTCAAAATCGACAATTTATATATCATCTTTCAGCCCAGTACAATTTGAAAATAGTTGAGATATTAAATCTCCTTCTCCCTAGTGGTTTTTACTGAAATAGAAGGTGCAGAACCATCTCTGCAATTATTCTCCATGAAGTAGGACTTAGATTTTTGATAATTTCTCAGTGCTACTGTTTATCACTGAAGTGATTAAGTCCGTTCCTGTCCCAAAGGCTGAGCTTAAGAAAGACATTTTCTGTACTGTTGCATTAAATTCTGACCTATTAAATCAGCAGCTATTATAATATCTCCAGAGCAATATTCCCCACCCCCATGGGACAAAATTTGGAAGAAAAAGCTTGTAAACCCAGCAATTCTGAGGTCTGATAAATTGCGATAGCAAAAGCTGTGCTGGGAACATTAGGACTTTTAAATTTCAAAGGTTTACTGCACATGCTTATGGTTTGCATCGACATTTACAAGGTGCTTAGTTCACAACCATCAGAAGGAGCATTTGTTCATTCTACGTTAACATTGTTCTGATTGGGATTTGATAAGGCTCGCTAAGAAGGTAGTACAAGCGACTGAATTTTCATTCTAAGCCAACAATTTAAAAGTTGAGCTTTCTAATACTGTTGTATTTAATCTATGTCAGAGATGTTTAAAATGAAAACACTTTATCTCTAAAAAATCAGTTTAGTTCAGCCTCTTGATGTGTGTCAGAATGGTACGCCCTCAGCTGTGGAGCCTCAGCTGCCAGGCCACAAATGTACCTCAGCATTGACTAAGGTTGTCTAAGTAGCAGAGGAAACCTACCGCAAGGGACAGTCCAGAACAGTCATGAGACACAACACAGATAAGGAGGACATAGAAGGAAGAAATAAAAATTAAAATATCCACACACATTAGTGAGCACTATGGAGAAATGACCTTCCCAGACCTATCACTACACCAGGGTCCTTCCCTCTGCATGTTTAGTGTTCTCAAGATTCAAGACATGCATGTGTCTTACGCCATGTACATGTATTATCTGCAGTTAATTTTGCAGTCATTGCTGAATGTTTTAAATTTTTTCATGGTTATAAAACTGTACTTAAGAGACATGTAGCTATGAATACTGCAATTTAAATTTCTGTCAATTTGATATGGATTGAAATGGGAAATACTTATTGCCTTAAAGCCTAACTAGCATAAAAAATAACTAGAAACCACTCAGATCTGTACTGCTTTGAAGTGAAGAAGGTGTAAACTATCTTCATTTGTCTCCCCCATGGTCACTCAATATCCTGCTTAAAATATTTTGAAAATGTAATTTTTTTAAAAAAATAATTTTAATTTGTATTTATGCTGTTTTGAACTCAGATCATCCAATGATCACCATGTTACATATGATCCTCCTAAAATCTGTACATTCTATTTTTCTTCTTTAGCCTTCTTCTTTATAGAATGTTAGACTCCATTATTAACTATTTTGGTCAGACTCAAATAGTAGCATAAGCTACTGTTATATAATTGCTTATCATTGAGACCTATTCTCACTTATCCAAATTATGCTTCATTTGTGTACTTAATTGTTCTTAACTTAGAAATAATACCTACAGTCCTAAGTGGACTTAAAATGAATAAAAATACCTTTTTGAGTGTTCAAAATTCTAACTACTTTGCAACAACATGTTATTAAAAACTATCATTTCTTCATTTGACTAATTTTTCTCTGTTCCTCCTTCTAAAGCAATAGGTGATTGATGAAAGATTTAGCATCATTAAATCCTATTTGAGGTCTTGGTCATTTATCCAGGTCATAACAGGGGTAATAAACACCACCACTATGCTATAAATTATAATCTTATGTCATACAGAACAAATTCCAAAAATAAAAATAGAGATGTATTACCCTACAAAGAAATGCCATAGTTATAATTTAATATTATATAGTGCTTTTTTTTTTCTCCTTTAAAATTCCAGGACACAAGGAAATCACATTTAAATTTTATGGTAATTATGAAAATGATAGTGTTGCATATGCAAATTATTGTTTTCCCAGATATTGCTAAAATAATGTACATACATTTTTTTCACTCCCATTTCCATCTGGGAGATTATTTCTATACTTAATGTCCTAATAAAATGTTTAAAGAAATCTGTATCTAATTCTGCTTGTTGAAGTAAAGCAAGACATGATTCAAAACTTCAGTTTCTATTTAACAAATTAACCAATGAGAAAAATCCTTATTAGACATCTGTATTTAAACACATGTGTGTGAGTTTCTGTAACTATGATTAGAAACTGTGAGAAAAATTGATAAAAAAAAACTCTTGTTATCCTGACCTTGGGCCAAGGCTCTCTGCAGCCTTCCCATGGCTCTGAAGCCAAGCAGAAATGCAGAGAGTGAAAAACATGCCTCATGAAATCCTTCTTAAGAGATATCACAGTATCTTGAATAAAAATTGTTTAAACTCAAACTGAGTATGCGGCTAAGTAGAAAATGATGCAAATGTTTTTAAAATGCTCGTCCTAACATTGGATCAGACTGTTCTTAAGGAGATACACATATTTACAAGTTCTATTGATAGTAATTAAAACCATAAGATGAATTGATAAAACTGCCCATAGAGTTTGCTATGGGAATCGATTGCTTTGAATTATCTGATGGGAAACACTGGTAACTGCAAATGTCATTTCTATTACAAAACCTCTTCATTTACATTTTTATACAAATTAAATATACTTTAGAAATATTCAGTATGAGTATTTTCAAAATGAAGAGGCTCATTTAATAATTATCATTATTAATAGAAGACTTTATCTTGAACTAACTTGTTCAGTTAATTTGGTTTAAAATAGCAACATAAAGGGAATCCAAACAGCTTCCTTAGACTTGGGAAGACAATCCAGCCAGATGTATTTTATATCAATCAGCATTGTGGTTTTAACTGGTCATAAGTGAGGAGACAAGAATTTTGTCTTCAAATTCTGTTCTGTTCTTTGGTACTGGCTCATATTTCCCTTCCCCCAGATAACTCATTGCTCTTGAGCACCAGTTACTGGGCTAGATGGGTATGTAAGAATGGTGCTTTTCACCAATGCTATGGAACCTAGTTATTTAACAGTCACTATGAACTCGGAGAAAGCTGGAAAAATCCCTTGCCCAAGAGGGAAAGCATTGCAGAACTCTTTATTCTGTTTTTGCAAGACTGTTAATATTGCTAAACAGATGAAATAAAATATCCAGACATCATTTCATATATTGCACCCATGGGGAGGTGTCCTGTGGTGGTAAATGCTCTCCTCTCCTGTCTATGCTCAAGGACAAGAGAAAAACCTCCCAAATATTTCCTTGACATGTTGAGATGTTGAGCAGACTGAAGGAATTGTGAAGCCTCATTATGACAATGACATGTAGCCATAAGTTGTTTCTAAAATCACCTGGTAAAAATAGTAAACCATTTATTAATCTCTGATAGTGTCCACGAATAAATAACAGATATGTACATTACCTGGTCTTTCATGGTCTTCCCTAAGTCTTTCACATCTTTCATGTTAATGGCATTCTTTCCTCCCTTTTCCTTTCCCTTCTTCTTGTTTTTCTTTTTGAACAAACATTTCTTACAGATACAAAAGCAGCAGGTCAGGACTAAAAGGACCGCAACTATGGCTATGGCAATTAAGGCCCACGGTGGCACTGAAAGAAAAAGAACAACAGGCACATAAAGCATTAGTCATAGCACTAGAAGTACAAAACCTTCTAACCCATGAACTATAAGGATGTTCGTTCCTTCATTTGTATTTATTGAGCACTTACTATGCTCCAGGTACATCTCTGTGGCATTTTATCCACATTATTTCCTGTGCCTGAAGTGCTTCTATCTTTTCTGCTTTGCTTGTCTATATATTTTCTACTGTCATTTCCTTTGGATTGTTTACCTGATGCTCCAAGATAGATTTTCAATAATTAAACCCTTCATTTACTCAGAGCATAGCTCTGTGGCTTGATCATTGAGTTTAGATCCTGCCCTTAGTATTTACTAGTTGAGTTATCTTAGGTAAGGCATCCAACTCTCTCCACCTCAGTTTCCTCTTCTGTTTAGTGGAGGTAAATTAGCGGAAACCCTAGAGAGTCCTTAGGAGGGTGAAATAATAAGGCATAGTACCTGGCTTGGCAAAAGCTTGATAAATGTTAGCTGCTATTACTCATCTATGAAATATTAGGTAGTATATTAATATGTTCTGGCAAATAGGAGGAACAAATGTTAATCATATAAACAGAAAAACAATCATAATGGTAGTGAAGCTGAGGTATAAGTTCTTTGTGCTCTGAAGGTCCATCATGGGTAATGTACAGCAGGGGTCTCTGGAGGTAGGGGAGTAGTAATGTGTTGAGCGCTCTTAAGCCAGGCTCAGCCGTGGCCACTTAGCCACTATGTGATTCTGGTAGATTGTTTAACTGTTCTGAGTTTCTGTTTCCTCCATTATAAAGTGAAGATTATAGTGGTGCCCCTTTTATCAGGTTTATCACCTTTATAAAGGAGCTAATAATCCCCCCCAAATTTAGAATGGTAAACAGCACATAGCAAGAGCACAATTAATGTTAGATATTATTTTTTTGTAGGTATTTGTAAATTTATTTATTTATTTTTATATATGACAGTGGAATGCATTACAATTCATATTCCACATATAGAGCACAGTTTTTCGTATCTCTGGTTGTATAAAATATATACTCACACCAATTCATGTCTTCATACATATACTTTAGATAATGATGTCCATCACATTCCACCAACATTTCTAACCCCCTGCCTACTCCCTTCCCCTCTTACCCGTCTGCCCTATCTAGAGTTTGTCTAATCCTCCCATACTCTCCCTCTCTACCCCACTATGAGTCAGCCTCCTTATATCAGAGAAAACATTCAGCATTTGTTTTTTTGGGGTTGGATAACTTCACTTAGTCTTATCTTCTCCAACTCCATCCATTTATCTGCAAATGCCATGATTTTATTCTCTTTTATTGCTAAGTAATATTCCATTGTGTCCTTCACAATGGATAAAAATGTGGCATATATACACAATGGAATATTACTTAGCTATTATTTCTTTATCTTCAAGGCACAGGACTCAGTACTGTGGGGAGTGCCAAGGGTATATGATGAGGGCATATAAAATATGCATACTAGTAAATATATATATATATATATATATATATATATATATATATATATATATGGATACACTGAGAGTCATTCAGTGACTTGAAAGAGATGTTAATCAGACAAGAAGAGAGAGATCAGATTTATAGGCTCTGTTTAAAATAGTAAAGCATATATAATAAATATGTTCAAATAAACCTTTAGTTCCCTATTCAGTTGTCCATCTGCTAAAAATTAATATATTTTCTTACTTGGCATCTCTACACAATGTGCTTATGAAAAATAAAGTTTCTTTGAAGTCTTTAGGGTTTTGCTTTGACTAGAAAGGAATTATTCATGATTCAAATCAGTGCTATTGAGATTAATCAGAAGAAGTAATTAGATTTGTCTGCTGTAATAAAAAAAAGATATTGGGCACTGAAATGATAAGAAAAAGTGTAATTTTCTTCAAGCCACATAAACATCATTAGTGCCAATGATTGTTGAACACAAGTCGGGAGTACTTTGATAAAGTAAAAGCACTTAAAATTAACCTCTCTTCAAAATTGAGAAAACCCACTCTTGCTTGCTCTCCTTCTGCATTTAGCTTTACAGTGTTGAATATTCACTCTGCATACTATCCTGCTGATGACTGGATATATGATATTAACCTAAGGACATATGAAATTACAACTTCTAACAATGTGCTTTCAGCCACAGAAACATTTATGTGAACAGACTTATAGATAAGTCCATACCCAAAGACATGCTTCTTTATAGTTCTCCAATCTCATTAAACAATGCACGTTTTTAAAAAAATGCAAATTAAAGTAAGCTCATGTAACTCAATGATATTATTCATAATACTTCATTTAAAAGCTTCTACCTCTGCTCCTGTAGTTAAAATCCTGCCATGCATGAACGAGGGAGTCCATGTATTCATTGTGGGCAAGACAGCGTTAATAATGACCCTTCATTTTGAACCTTGTAAGTTTTTCTCCCAGTTGGACTTTTGTGATAGTCTCTCAGAAAACTACATAAAAGTCTCTTAAATTACACAAGACAAGACGAAGAGATCTGACGGGTTCACAAAAAGAAAATAGGCAGTCAACGCAAAGGAACATTGTTTAATCAAAAGAAGTTAAAGAGATAGGAACATGGAATTACAGGAAGAAATTTGAAATGGTGCAACCTGAGACAATTTAAAACCACTGGAAAACTTTTATTTTGTTACTTTTACTTTTTTTAAAGTGCTCTTGCTTTCCAGATATTTGTTCAGGGGATCTTCTGAATAGCTTAATTTTAATTTAGAATATGCTATGTTGAATAATTAACAGAATTTTCCTCACAATTTACTGACATCTCTAGATAGAATAAAATAACCCCTTGCCAGGTGTGGTGGCACACACCTGTGATCCCAGCTACTTGGGAGGCTGAGGCGGGAGGATCTCAAGGTCAGCTGGGCTACTTGGTGAGATCATCTCAAAAACAAAAAACCCCTTAATGTGACCATTTTGTATTCTCATAGGAAAACCTGAATCATCAACAATAATGTAAAGACACAGCTATTTTAAGTAATTGGAATGATGTGCATTGAATGTTCATGTTAAAAAAATTTACTTTATAGAATAAAAAATATTTAAAATTTGGTAAATGTATTATGAAACAACATTTACAGTGTTATTCATTTGTAGTACATGCAGAAATGTATTAGTGAGCAAATCTCTCAAAATGTATTTTGGATTAGGCTAAAAATTTATTGAAGCCTATTTATTACATACCAACCACTGTGCTACATTATTTCATTTAATCTTTACAGCAGTTTTGTTCATTATCACCTCAGTTTTACAGAGGAAAACCTCTATAGATTGAATAGTTCCAGAAATTCAAATATGTCTTTAGGTTGTCAGGTTAAAATTTTGTATTATAGATGTACATGAGGGGAAAAGTCCTTATCTAGTTTTGAAGTTCTGAACAGAATATTTTATATTAAATCCAGTGAAGTAAATAAATAACAGTATATGATGGTGGCAAGAGTGATTTAATATAAAATATAGTTTCATCAAAATACTGCTAGTGGCGGAAAGGTTTCATCTGATTGTTATTGCTACCCAACCATCATTAAATGGAATTTTATAATAGGAATTTTAAGATTTAACTTTAAGGCTTTACAGTGGAAAATAACAGACTGGTATAAAAACTTTTTATTAAAAATGGTTTTATTTTTGCATTAATAAATCAATCTCACATATATTATTGAACCAAAAGCTAAGTTGATGCCTAAGAATTAAGTCAAAGGAAAGTTAATCCAAAATTGCTTCTGGGTTTTAATTTAGACCGGGGGATAGGCAGAATGATTGCCAGTTTGCATTTCCTAAAAATGCCTGACTCAGTGCTCAATGAGTATTAGCTTGAGGGAAAGCCAGGCAGCCAAGTTCTTGAACTTGCAGACAGTTCTTAGTAACACCTTCTCCAGGGGCTTTTCCTTAGGTCTGTTAGTCCTAGTCCTTAGCTCTGATTCCCTCTTCCTCTTCCCCATTCAGTCAGCTGCTGCTGTCTTCTAGGCTAGCAAACATTTGGTGGGCTACTGCTTGGGGACTTGGTTTGATCCAGGCAATAACTCACCAGTGTTTTGGTCTCCATTTGGCTTTTAAGGGCAGCTCTACATTGTATTTTAGATGCATCCTCATTCATCATATTCAAAAACAACCTTAAACTCACATCTCATTCACAGCTGCTATATTTTCCTCTCTGAGAAACATAAGCTTATACTTTCGCATCCACCTTAGATATTTCAGCCCAGGACTTTAAGACAACATAGGTAATACCGTTGCTATGGTCACTACAAAAACCAGTGACTTCAAGCACTTTCTACCTTGACATATCTCTATTTTGTCAAACGAATGCCTCATCACTGCACAAACATCTGTGGAATGAATTTTATGAATAATCTCCATATGTTTTCATTCTTGTATTTGCCGAAGCATTTTGCCAACTTCTAGTTTTCACCCCCCAAATTCATCATCTTTTTATAAAACAGTGGTTCTGCAAGATTCAGAATACAATATGAAAATAATTATTGTGCTATTAAGTAGTAGGAAAACTAATCTCTGTTTCAAAGCCTTACTTTTGAGGCTGTTTATGAATAATTTTCTAAAACACACAAGGATAATAATTTCCTAAATATTGGCAGAATACAATAAGCCTTGTGTTTTGAAGCCTTTTCTAAATTATAGAATGCAAAAAAAAAAGAAGCTCTGGAAATATGTGGATTAATATACTCATTAGTCACCTCTGGAGACAGAACATTAAATGCAAATTTGTAAAAATATACAAAGTCATGTAGAATATAGCTTAAGGTTAAACCAACCAGTCAGAAGTCAGAGAGAAGAATTTCTCATTATAGGCTAAAGTGGCTTCAAACATTACCAATTTTTGGCTCTTGAGTATTTGACAAACTAACCTCTCCTCACTCTTCAGATTGGGAGTTCTAAATCTCTGGAATCATATGCCCTTTGAAAAATATGATAAAAACCGTGAAATCGTCATGGGAAAA